GAGAAGTGCTGAAGACCCTGGAGGAAAAGTTGCAGGATGAGGAAGACAGAGAGACAGCTGAACATCACGCAATCATCAGAATGCGGGAAATGGGGATTGAGAGGGCAGACGGAAGAAAGGAACGATTATCTGGAAAGGAAAGACGTCGCCATAATCAAACAGCCACTGGAACAATCAGTATGAATAATTGAATACCTTACGGGCTTTGGTGCTGAGACGAACAGAGCACTTACGGACCTGTCCGGTGTGCAATAGCGTTGTTGCCCAGGACTGGTAACAGCCTAACAGGTACAATTCAAAGTATTGATCAACTGATATTTGTATTTGTATCAAAATACTGTGAATGTAGTATTGCTTGAGAAATGGATAAATCAGATGGTATCAATATCGTACAAACAACTAAAATTGTAGGTATACACATCAACTTTTAGGTGTATTACATTCTTCCTCATTGCAATTTTTAGTTCATTTGAGTATGCAGGAGTGTATCGAAACAGTAACAGTCTTATAGTGTTGAAATAGAACAAAACAGACAAGCAGAATCAACTAATGGAAGGTAAATAAATAGGACCCACCATTTCACTTTCCTCACAACTGATGATATTTCAAAAGTCACTATGTTTGGTGGACAGTGAGTGAGTGACATTTCCAAGGACATCCATTTCTGGTGCCATACATTTCAACCCATTGTTTGCACAACTCAGATTAGGTGACAATATAAAGCAAAATAATACAAATCAGAAATACATATCAAGCCAAGCACAATAAAAGTAAAAGACCCCCCCCCCCTTTCTTTTTTCACAACACTTATAGTCCAAGTGTATAAAAGTACACTATGTGAAACTGAGGTGAGGTATACAAGGAAGGGGGCAAATGTATTAAAGTAAAAGTAAAAACAGAGTATTAGGATTCACATCATAGGCAGCAATGAATGAGTGAGTGAGCATACAATTTTGTACACCTCCTTCAAACAGGTTAGAAACATACATATATATATATTGCTCGAATGACAAGCATAATTCATACAGCTCACAAGCTGTAAAAATGGTACAGTTAAAAGAGATTTTTAAAAAAAATCACAACCACTTGCAACATCAAGCATCCAGTGTAATATTTGTCTTTGTTACCAGTATTTATAGTCCTGGCAGTATCAAACAGATGAAAGAATCGGACATAATATAAAGAAAGCGACACAAACTATGAGCAATGTGATAGTAGCTGCTCGAAGGAGGAAAAAAGCGACATGAAAGACACATAGCTAGACAGTGGAGATATGTTTGAATTTGAAGAAGGCATGAAGAAAGGATTATTCTTTTAAAAAAGGATTAAACAAAGCATTTCTTTAGATCTATATTTACTACTGAGTCAAAATGTCTGTAAACTTAAAGACATTTTTATCAGAAGCAATAATGATCAACAACTCATGGTCAAAGCTAATGCATGTAAAAATCAGAAATATTCAACTGAGTATTCGAAGTTTATGAGCCTCATTAGGCCGACTTTGTTTTCAGGCAAGGGAGTTGAACACTCCTTACATTCTCTTAAAGAGGATTAACATCATTCATGAAGTACGGAAATCTCACATAACATGCACAGTTTATAGATCACATATAAAAGCAGTTTTGAGTCTCAGTGGAAAGGCAAGATATCAGTCTGACACAGGATCTGGAAAACTGTCATGTTCTGAAAACACTAATAATTTACACTCTTGCACACATATAGTGAAATCTGCGGGACACCGCAGAAAGCATTTCATTACGTACAAATTTCACCGTGTATGTTTTTAAAAAATACATAGGTCTCTATAACTATAATGTATTTATAGGAAAAAAATTTGGACCTGAAAATCTGTTCGCAGTGATGTGTGAGTCACTTTCACTATGTGCATGTTCATTATGTGCATGCTAAACTGTATCTTCTAAGATAAGAATCCAGTATGCGATGTGAGAAGCAATACACAACTGCTCACATGCAACCCCCCCCCCCCTCCGAAAGAGCCCAATAAAAATATAAGTAAAAACATAGTTCCTCAAAACAAATGACAAACGAGGCCTTAGTGATCCCGAAATTCAAGAGGTGAAGTCTCATAAAGTGTCACAGACACACATACAAAATTAGACCATGTTTTTAGAGCATACTTTAACTTCAACAGCTACATGCAAACTATGCATGATGATACAGAAGATGCAAAATTAAAAATCCACAGTCAGCTATGACATGGAGCGTTGAATATATACATCTAAATCAGATTTTACAACAGAAATAATTTTTCTGAGCAATGTCAGAGAACTGGAAAAAAGATTGACAGAAATAATTTTTCTAAGTCATGGAAGAGAATTGGAAAAAAGACTAAGTCAAATATATAAATGGCATCAAAAGAGGTCAACAACTGGGTAAAACTTCAGCATACCAAAATGTTCAGAGTTCTAAATAAATCAGCAAAAGTTCAGCATATAACAAAAACTACAACATGATAAAGTTTTTTATACCGCTACCTGTGTCTCTATCTTCATTTAATGTAAGCAATTATATAGTCCAAGTGTCTCTCCTCAAACAAATGACATTAGTCAGCTGAGCTCTTTGCAGCATGACATATATATAGAGGCAGATCAGGAGAGAGAGCTTGAGTAAAAAGAAACACACCAACACAATAATGATTATTTTGTGCAGGTACAAGATAAGAAGGACAGAAGCAAGAAATGGGAAAGAAAAGAAGTAGGACTTATCAGTGGCCACCCACAAAGAGAGAGAGAGACAGAGAGAGAGAGAAAGAGGGGGGAGAGACACTGAAAGAGAGAGGGAAGAGAGAGAGAGAGGGGGAAGAGAGAGAAATAGAGAGCAGGCTATCAGTCCTCGGTACATTGTGTCCACGCATGTCTTTATAGTTTTAACACTAGCTACCTTGCATTTGGACCTACCAGAATATACTGACTGCACCGTTTTCTGTCATTGTTGTACACACAAGAACTACGGTACACTAATACACTTACACCAACACTCATTTCATGGAATGCTTGCTGTCTAAAAGGAACTAAAAAGAGATCTGTGAAAGTAAATTAAGAAATCTAGATGCACAAAAACTTGTACAAATCTTCCACAATAAAAGAAATAATTTGTTCATGCATTGTGGTTATAACCTGGAATTGGTTTGGATCAATGGCACTATTCAGTAAACCTCTCATGTCCACAATATAAACCTTTTGAATGAAAATTAAGTCAACAACTATCTAGGAAAGAAGTGACAACTTATGATGAAAGGTGTAAATCAGATGTATTTCACAGTATTGTGTGACCTGACTTCCATTCCTGGTGAGCTTCTGTGTTCAAGTCAAAAACTTGTATATTACAATATCCTAGAACAAGCAATGTCATGGCTGCCACTTTTGGCTCTTACTAAAACCTTCCCCGTGCAGGTGCACACAATTGGTGTGCAAATGGAGGGCAAAAAAACAGTCTCACTGTGTTAGGTAAAAAAACAAGTCTCAATATAGTCGAGTGCAAGCACAACCTTTCCCTCCTCCTTGCTCTTCATTTGGTTCCAAATAAAGTCAAATGGTGTGCTCTATAGAGAGCCATAATTATGTCAGTGTACACAATCTTTGATATATTATAATATACAAGCCTATGACTCAAATGGTAGTACGTTCTACGATGACCTCAGTCTGTTTGACCACACATAAAAAAGCTCCAATAAAAAACCAGAGTGGTGTGTGGCCAACTCCACACTCCACTAATGTCAGGGGACTTCACACTTCTACATCAACATCCACCAGGAGACTTAGTAGGCCTACCACTTGAGGTGTAACACAGGAATATGGAGAGAGTACTGTGTCATTAAATAGTAAATGCCAAAGACAAAAGAAAACATTTTGACATGGGGTTCTGTGAAAACGGAACATCTAGAAATGCTAAAGGTAGGACAACCGTGAACTGTGAGTAAAATCCATGGCAAACAAGTCACTGGTAGATTAATCGTTTCATCTGTTCTGTGCAGATTTCAACAACCAATAAATCAGCAGCATATATAATATACCAGTAACATACATACATTAAAAAAACAGTTATGATTTGATTCAATCGCTTTTACCTTTGAAGAGCCAACTTTCGTTTTTTGATTTCATAACAAAGCAAAGAATTCTTTTTCATGAAGAAATAAAGACGAAATTTTTTTTTCCCCAGTGGAATGGAAGAGACATTTGGCAGAACGTGTGTTGTACATTCCATTTTTTTCAAAAGGTTTATAGATCAACTCGCTGGGACCAGTGAGAACGTGGAAGAGAAAAGTAAGGACTATGCAAGGCTTTAACTTTAACGTCCCTATTACAGGGTTCCCACTCAACTGTAAAAATGAGAAAAAGCCAAGAATTTCATTTTCAGATTTCGCGTTCGGGAAAAAACCAAGAAAATAAATGATAATGACAATAACTGGGAGAAAGCCGGGAAACTGGAATCAGGAGTGTAGTCTATGTCACAACGCCATGAGCAGCTCTATAACTTTTACTTCAACACACTCTGTGCAGAGAACCCTTGGAGTCATTCAGTATCACTATACCCTGTAAAAAAACATCAGTAGCACCAAGGCCAGAAGTAAGGCCAAGATTAATTTGACACGGTGCTAATAAATTCCAGCACTTTTGCGTTGTGCGGGGGAGGCTTAGGCAATTGAAAAAATGAAAATAAAAAAAGAAAACGGATTTAGTTTGACACTTGAAACAATCAGATGCGTTACAAGGTAGGTTGTGTAGTAACGTACAACCAGGATCAAAGGTTTATGACTAATATGACGCATCCCTTAGATTTCTTTGGTTTTTATAAGAGTCAAGCCAACATCTAGTTAATTCAGTCCCTCCTCCCCCTCTCTTTTAAAGTAATTTTCCTAACTCGGCAAAAGCAAGCCTGTCGAGTCCTCTTTTATCACGCCTTTGTTTACGTTACAGTTATCCCACAACCCCTGTCCCTGACACCCTGGGAAAAGGGACTATCCATGGCCATATTATTACTATTTTTATTTTGCACCTCTCTTCATGTCTTCGTCCCAGTTCATTGAAAAAATAGATATATTTGAAAATAATTACAAAATCTGGTTCATCGTCCACCATGATACCAACAGAGTGCCAAAACTTGGAAGACACCAATCAAGAAATAACATAGGCTTAGATTTAGATAGAAAAATAACTAACATGTGCAAAAACAATACTGCAACTGACACATGTATAAAATAAAGTAATTGGACCAAACAAAAATTTTCACTTTGACTGCCAGTCAAGTTGTAGACAGCTATTACAATACAATCAAGACTTGAGCAAAAGAAGAAATAAATCTCAATAAGGCTCAGACTAAGCTGCAGCTCTCTAGAATTATTGCGTGACATCATCCATAAATGACTTAACCTTCGTTAGAGTTAGTCTAATTTGTCCAGTGTCGATTAGACCAAAGGGGCAACATTCATGTTATACCATAATAATATAATTAGTAGTAATATTTTTTTTCCAACAGAGAAAGGGTCAATGAAGTAATAGTATTCCACAAAAACAAGGTAAAAAGTACCTATTCACCCGCCAAAGTTTTGTGTAAATTATACAGAATCCAACAATAATATAATATATATTTGTGCTGTAAATGTTTTACAGATAAATCCTCCAATACCAAAGGGTAATTAAAAAGTGTACAAGAACAAAAATGTAAGTAGAGAAAAATGTCTTCCTTTTTTAAGATTGTCAGTGCATGTACAGTATGTAATGTATGTTGACTGCATTAGTAAATTTAATATATATATTTCTGAGCAATCAGTGTCAAAATGGAATTAATTAATTAGTCAAATCAACAGTACTACTGATGATGTATTAAAATGAAGTTTTTCTCTTACCATGGGTATTTGACAGCCCAACTTTAATACAGTTTAAAAAAAATTCATCTTAAATGCTTGACGCCACATCATTCAGCATTGAAATTTTACTGATTACTCAATTAACTTCAACATTGAATAACAGCAGTTCAGAACATAACATTCAACTTTCTGACACAAGTTATCATGTGTGTCCATCGCAAAAAAAAATTGTCTGGTTAGTGTATGAAAAGCAGACAGCTGCTGATGTAAACGCACATGGCCTTGACGATCTTTGCATTTCATCATGAAACGTAGTAATCAAACACATGGTGTTGTTTAGACAACTTGTAGGCTGCGTTGGAAAAAGTGACTCCGTTTTTGGTGGTAATTCCATTGCACTCGTGGACGTGACCAAACAGATGAAGCTTTGGCCTGTTAGAAACAAAGATTTAAAAAATTCAATTTACAAAATTTGTAACCGGTTACTAAAATTGGGAAACACTATAGAAGATAAACAGGAAGAAAAACCACAACTCCTGCGACCTGCAACTTCAGATCTAACATCTTTCTTATAACCTAAGGTGCACCGGCAGTGGAATTTTAGTTGCAGCAGGGGGGTCTCCACAGAGTGCTTTATCACGTCAGGGTCACGAGGGTCAGCTCCCTGTCGCCACTCTATCTGGGCTGATTTCATTTTTGGTACTTTTCAACATACAGTTTTAAGTGTTTCCCTGCATTTATGGTAATTATCATTTAATGCACCCAAAGCATGCTTTTCTGCTCTTGAGACCCAAAAAACAACGGACACTGTAATTTGTCTGGTTATTTCGTAAGACGCGTTGAAGTCGGCAATGCTAAATTGTAAAATTTTCTGGACAAGTGTGAATGAAAAAAATCAGAATTAAAAAAAACGGCATGACAAAAACTGTCTAACTTTTGAAACATGAACGACATAACATTGGTGCAGATACTCAGAAAAGATGGTATCTGCGCGTATAATAGGAAGCTATAAGTTTGCATCTTTATCCATCTGGCACACAATTCGCTGTGTAATGTAATCTGGAATATTTGAATATTTTCTCTAAAGTTTATCTAAATTACCCTGATGTCTCTCTATGAAAAAGTACAAACCGATTTTATAGTGTCAGAATACATCTACAACAATCAATGTAATACACGAACAGTAGGCTATCAGTTACACTCCATAAATTATTCCTTATTTTTCTTAAAACGCTAGATCAAGGTTTTGTAAGTTGAGGGAATAACAGGGATGACTTCTCGTAATTGTGTTATAAGAATAATTTCTAGCTTTCCAGTGACACTGAATCAGCACCAGGCTTTTCTAGCTTTTATTTTCGTTTCTATAACCATTTGAAATAACTGACAATGTTCTGATTTCTTTACATTCATAAAAGTGTCTGCGCATATGTCCGACACAAAACCTAAGAATGAATGTTTTAGCTGTCATTATTTTTATTCCATACAAGAAGTTCGTCTCTACCCATGTATTAACACAGGTTTGTGTTTTTTAAAAATCGCGTAATATATCTTTTTTAGTTGTATGCAGGCTGCCACAGACACAGCATGATTCAATAACAAACGCAGAGTAACTTTCTCTTGTTTAATGGTAGAACAAGAGCTAACGCTGGGTGTCTTAGGTTAAAAAATGCAGATGTGCATCTTTCTTCTCTTATAACTTGATTATTACTACTCGCGCAGATTAAAAATTTCTCATAGTAAAAGACATGATATTCGTAGTCAGTTTAACACAGATTTTGGAGAGATCTGTCGTGCCGTTTTAAAATAAACAATCATTTATTCATAAGTATGTAACAAAAATAGGACAAATTGGGTACTCTACAAAACTTATCTAGAACAAAAACCAAGGCACAGAAATGAGCCAATCTAACGCTGCATAAATCTCAAAGCATTGAGCTTTTAGTACATCCACTTAATGGTTTGCTGTGTGGAATGGGGAATAAGTTATATCGTTTCAAACATAGACAAAAATGCTAACTTCTTAACCGACACCCGAAAAGTCACTTCAGGGCTCATTAACCCCATGACCCCGAGCCGGGAGCTCCAGCAGGTTGCTGAGTCACGCTAACTAAAGGTAACAGAATCTGGCTAAAAGTGACGCTGTGAACCAAATCTTGAGCATGAGTGATGGGTTTCTTTGGTTCTATAAAATATCTTAAAAGTCCATTATCATTTAATTTTTCTAGAGTACCGTATGATCTTTGAAAACACATCAAACGTATCCTTCAAACATCGCTACATGTATAAAATCAAAGGACTAATGCTCACTTGATTCTGATCAAAACTTCTTCCCTGAGATGCCGGCAGCCCCAGTGACTGCGACCTGGATGAATGATACCACAGGTACTGCAAGGGCCTTTTGGGAGGAGTCGATGGATGGCAGATGACAACTTGGGAACTTTTCTGGCCGTGAAGTCTGTGGCAAGGTCAAGAATACCATGAGGTGGAGTGTGAGTGATAAGTACATCGGTGCGGGAAGGGATTTCTCTCCAGTGAGCTGCAATACTTCTTGAGTGACGCTGAAATCCTGTTGCGTTAGTTGTCAAGCGAAAAGGCGTGTATGGAGCACCGTAAAAATGAATACCTTCGTAAGTGTAAGAGGAGTTGTAGAGATAAACAGCTGAAGTTAAACGTTCTTGCACTGAGAGGAGTTTCTTACCCTCTAAAGAAGCTTCATGATTCCCAGCTACAAATATTTTTACTTTGTGGGGAAACCTGTCGAAAAAGTCATTCATTGCTTGAATAATTTCTTCGAAATTTTCAGAACGAAAAAGTCCGGGAGCTTTTGAATTCCAAGCAAAATCGCCAGAGTGAATGAGAACATCTCCAGGAGGAACACTGGTAGAGCTTGAGTGTGACCTTCTAAAACTACTAAGAAATGTTCCTCCTTTATGAAATGAGGAATCATTACTTTCACTTGCTTGCATTTGCAATCGAGCTGACGCTGACCTGGCAAAAGCATCTGCACCAGTTTCATCAATTATTTGGTTGGGGGAATCAATGCTGGTACTCCTGAGTATAGCAATGTTGCCACTTAATGGTCGAAGAGGTGTAAGAGTATTATGTGCATGGTGAGTATCAGAAATGTGAACAATCCTGACAATTTTTGTCGCAGAATTAGGACAGTTCACATTCCCAATGGACATGACATCGTCATTCATTTCGCTGGGTAGGATTTCTGAAAAAAATAGAAAAAAACAAGGTTTGTTGAGACAATTGCAAAAAAGTCAAGGCTTCCAGAATAGAACACTAAAACAAAATATCATGAACAATATGAATTCACAAGAAAAAGTAAGTTGCTGAACATTCGAACTTTGTCTATGCTAATTGAACATGCATATATATATATATATATATATATATATATATATATATATATAGCAATGAAAATAATTATGCAAATAAATAAACTTGCTTTGCTGATTTGATTTTATGACTTCGAACAAAACATTTTTACAGAGGCCTGTTCTTTGTGGAGCAACAATGCTCAGAAAAAAGAAAACCACCAACATTTCACTGCTCATTTAAATGCTGTTTATTGAAGCCTCTTTTTTTTTCTATCCCTCAAGGGTGACTTAAATCAGTAGCAGAATATTATGCTAGGTTTTCTTTGAAATCATGATTGTCTCTTGTTTTGCTTGGTTTCCATGATACTTCTATCCAGGGGCGAAGCATCTATATAATCAAATAATCACTGCTTCCCTTCCTAATTTTGAAACGTTTTAGCAGTCAAATTCACCCATAAACGTAAACCTTATAAAGTAAATGTAAAAAGATGTTCATAATCAACAATGAACAGTATGCCTAACATTCAAAACGGTTTCACTGCCACAGAAATGGCCTGCTCACCCCTCTCGGGCCACTCCATAAGCAGTCACAAGCTTTGATCAAATAAGCTTAAAGTGGGGCTGGAAGAGTCTACCAATAGAGTTGAAGGGAATACGTGCATAGCAGTCCATACAGTTTCATTGCCACATATACCCTGTTCACCCCTTTCCGGCCACAAATATAATCAGTTGTAAGCCCTGATTATGTAAGTGAACTATTACACTGGTCGAGTCTACCTTACAGATGTGAGGGGAACTAACTCCTAATAATCTCTTTACTGCTGCGAGTGCTTGTTTTTTTCCTCGACTTTGTAACGTCCTATAATCAGATCGTGACCTCAATTATGACACCGGCTCCTGGCCGCGCAAAGCTAGACAAAAAACAGCCAAAAGTGAAATTTTAAAAAATGATAATTGTCATGTTCTACCAAAGAGTTAGACTCCCTGGTAGATTTATAACATATTATAGATCTAGTACTGACATCTCTGCTTCCTTGCTTTGGGTTTGTGTATTCACTTCTAAAGTTAAATTTAATTTTAGTTGGAATTGATATTTAATGAGATACTTTCCCGATTATTTTGGTGGTTTAATTCCGGATTTGTTTTCACTCACACAACTTAAGAGTCCCCTGCCTCGAGTAAGATTCTTGTGTGATTTCTCCAGGCCATAATATCTGGTTCCGTACCGTTTCACTTTGAATACCCTGTCAAACAAGTCAGCCTTCGACCCTGCTTCTATCTTTTTTTTTTCTCAATAACTACAAAAACAATTAACAGCCTAGAAAATATTGACAACTTAACATTTTCCAAAAAAACCCTCAATATTTTGTTGACCTCTACCATCAATCCACCCACCCCTGATGTTAGAAAAGGCATTCCTTTTAAGTAGCTATCTGGCATTTCCTGTAGTGAAAATAACATTGGCATGACAACTCCTTCTTGGCCTTAGAATCACAAATGAGACACTGACTCAAAAAACTCACACAAAAAAAACCTTTTGTAAAAGCAAGTCCTAATAAACATCTCTACCTCGGTTAAGCATCAAGAAATACACACCTATTTAAGACTAGAAAAGCTGATGTATGCAGCATCTTTTTCTGAGGACAACAGCCATCCATTTAATTACATCATTTTGATTTTGAAAAGACCCATCAAACCACTGTACTTTATCATTTTCTCCAACACATTATAAACACAGTGATCTACAAAAGAACAGTCAAGAAGCAAAAAAAGCAGTTTCTCAGACAGAAAGGGTTCCTTTGTAAATTTAAAGGGGTGCAACTCAGATCATATATCTGCTGCCACAGTTGGCTTCCCTTGTTTATCAGGAAGAGTGATTGTTTTTCAATCAAACGGCAGCGTCCCACATAATAAAGTAAAGCAAGCATACAGGGTTGGGTTGATTTAAATCAGGTTGATTTAAATCAGTTGATTTTTAAAAATTTAAATCAACTTGATTTTTAAAATAAAAATCAGTGATTTTAAATCACTTTTAAAAAAAATTATTTTTATTCAGTTTTTTAATATTTCAACATTCAGAATTCCTTTCCTAGGTTTCATAAAACAGATATAAGGTTTAGTACACTAATATAATCATGCTTAAGAGTCTGCTTCCCCCTCCCCCTTTCACTGTAAAATAATACAGTATTCAATTTACTTTTTTTTCCCATAATTGAAATCAGAGTTTGGTTGATTTAAATCAGTTGATTTTTTTATTTTAATCAACTTGATTTTGTGATTTAAATCACTTTTAAAAAAATGTATTCTGTTTTTACATATTTAAACATTCAGAATTCATTTCCTTTAACAGATATAAGGTTTAGTAGACTAATATAATCATGCTTAAAAGTCTGCTTTCCCCCCCTGTCACTGTAAAATAATACAGTATTCAATTTTCTTTCTTTTCATAATTGAAAACCAGGGTTGGGTTGATTTAAATCAGTTGATTTTTTTAATTTATATCAACTTGATTTTAAAATTAAAACTCAGTGATTTAAATCAAAATCATTTTTAAAAAATGTATTGTTTTTACGTCTTTAAACGTTCAGAATTCCTTTCCTTGGTTTTATAAAACAGATATAAGGTTTAGTAGACTAATATAATCATGCTTACAAGTCTGCTTTCCCCCCTGTCACTGTAAGTAGTAAATTAATACAGTATTCAATTTACTTTTTTTTTCATGATTGAAATTAGCATTTTCTTTTTCTTTTTAGACAAACACAAGCGCGCGCACACACACACACTGTAATAAAATACAAGTTTATCTATGCATAATTACCCCCTCCCCCCCCTTTCCTTTTAGACTGACATTTTCTTCATTTGAAGTCTGTAGCCATAATTCACTGATATAGCAGATTAAGGCTTTCTTTTGCAGTTGCTTAAATTAATCATTAGTTAAAATAAAGACAATGCATTCTGCACTAAAAGAACATACTTTTAGCCACCAAAAATCCCAAACTGTGTCGACATTTAAAAAAAATAATAAAAAATATAAAAAAATCCGATTTAAATTTAAAAAATCTGATTAAAATTTTTAAAATCGATTTTTTTGATTTTGATTTAAAAAATCAAAAAAATCACCAACCCTGCAAGCATATATCTGTAAAACAAAAACTCCAGCTCAACAGCAAGCTCTATCATACTCTATGTGTTTTACAATCTATATGGCTCTTTTCGTCTATGCAGATGGTTAATTTAGCTTACAATCTATATATAACAAACCAACAGACCTGATGGCATTCTGAAACAATCTCAACTTACATAATATAACTATTGTTCTCCATCCAGAGAGGTAAATAGGATAATGTGATCTTTTTGGGGGCATGATTGTATTTTTCAAGACAGCTAAAAATAGGGAGGATAAAATGATAAAATTTGTGGAAATGTCACCTCTCGCCATCACTCAACAAACACGGAAAAGTTGCCACTAACGAAATAGAACATTACCTTTTAACATGGTGTTTACAGTTCAATTCACTTTTTAATGTCCACTCAGAAAAGATAATGTAAGCCACACGTCTTACAGAAACTACTGCAACTTATACTTTTATCACAGTAAATCCGGCAATTTCAATTATTCACTTTTATTATAAGTTCAAAGCTATTTATTGAAAGTGGCTATTCTCACCCGCCCGGAAGTTCTCGCAAGATCAACTCCTCCCCTCTCTCTCTCTGTCTCTTTCTGAATACTGTCTATCGGTGTGGACGATCAAATTGACCAAAACAAAGTTAAAAAATGATGTTAAAACACAAAAGTAAATTAATTTGGTTGTCTACAAAGATGCTACGGCTATTTAACTTTTCGAATCGAGCCGAACTACGCGGGTCGCCATTTTGTTTTGCCCGGAAATTTTCGCGCTACTCCTCTCTCTCCACTGCCCACAGACAAAATTGTACGCTTTTAGTAGGCTACAGTTGTAATGGAACGTTTGTTCACGGCACAGAATTCTACAATTTTTCTGTTATCACAGTGTAGAATTCTGTGGTTTAGGGTGAACGCAAAATTTGGTGAACGCGCACCGGGTGAGAATAGCCACAAGACTCGCCTGCACTATTCTCACTCCGGGTGAGAACTCCGGGTGAGAATAGAGGTGGCCTTTTAGTAAATTTATACTCCAATCACTGACCACACTAAACTTGACTTGACAATATGATTCCTATAATATTATAGGCTACATACATTCCCGTTGTGCTGTCTTTAGACTGAATGTTTCTTCATTCATATTTCATTGTTATAAATCAGCAAGACGTAACATTCTAAAGGCTACGATTGTAAACGAAGCTTGCTAATTCATCCACAAAATATGTCCCTCTTAATCTTTCTTTCTTTTTGTTGACTTCCTGGTTCAGACAAATATCATGAAATCCAAGTGACCAAACTTTATTCCTGAGATAAGTGTGAAAATCTGACCCCAACAATGGATGGACTGCACTATAGGAATAATATTTATAACATCTTTCGAAACATCCTGAAATGCTTTTTTTCTAAAAAGGAAACATATTACCAGACTTTCTATTTCTGGTCGCATGCTTGTATCAGTCGGTGCTCACTCGACGCCATTGTTGTGACAACAGCCTTTCGGGAAAACCTCATCGCTAAAAATAGCTCTCGCGTGGCATTAAAATTTGGCAATTTTCTCTATAAATTTCGAAATACCACCCGGGCTATTTGTCATCAATTTTCTGATTGATGCTATTTTTTTCGTCTTGAATTTAGTTTCATCTTTTATGCCTCTTTCCCTTTTTCTTTTGTGCTAGATCTAGAAATCTAGATTCCATCTTTCAAAATGAATCGTTCTTTGCAAAGCGAAGTATTATTTTGCCCGTTCATAGACCTATATTGAGACAACTGTAGACAAATTAAATTAGGCCGGCACTATTTCTCCGAACGTTCGGGAAAATAAAGCTGGACACTAAATCTCCGAAAACTCTGAAATCACATCCTTTCCGCAAATTTCG